CCTTAGCTCATTAAAGTCCTATACTTTACTATATTGCTATCTCCCATTTATAGATATAGGGCTGAATATGTATCCTAGTTTATCTAAATTGGTCAAGACACAAGGGAAATGCCTAAAGATATAGCTACGGAATAATTCAAATTATTTTGGCTGTGTGGACGTTAAAATGAAATTTTTTGTTTGATAGTATAGGTTAAATCATCTTGATGTTATTGATAACCTAATTATATTGACTTTTTCTTGATTTTCAACTACCTTTTCTTCCATAACTTTCTTGCCAAATAAGATAACAAATTGTCAAAGAATATTTATTTATTTATTTCAAATGGCAGGGGTTTTGATAGTTATCATTAGTCCTTTAGTTGACTTCGGGCTTCACAGAGGGAAGGAACATCAAAGTGACAAAAAATTCGAGAGAGGGGACAAAATAATGATTTACAGATGTAAAAGAGACAGACACAAAGGCAGACAAAAGGTAAGATGATTACTGTGGAAGGGATCGAATATGATACACAGTGGGGTCATGGTAGTTTGAAATGAGAAGTCAATTGTCAGGTAATAGACTTTTAACCGTATGAGTTTACGTTGTTCAGGGTGGACCACGTGGAGGTAAGTCTATCGTACACCCTATTATCAAAGAATATGTTGACAAAATCATAAATCACACGTTCATCGACAACATGTAACTCTCAATTTTAGTAGTAGCATTTGTGCCGGCTGTCCTTCTCTGTGCCCTTGTTCGAATTTGCTCTCAACGTCGTCAACTTGACTTTGCCACAGTTGATGGTGATTTGCGCGCACTTGAAGCACATGATGGCGCAGCATTCGGTCAACCTGGACGTCTCCAACGCCCACACAGCCTCCCTGTCTTTGAAAATGCCGTCACTAAGAAAAACCTTGCCCGTGGTCGAAATTTCCTTGCATTTGCTCTACGTCGTTCTCGGTCAACTGAGGATGTTCTACCCTACTCTTCCGCTGGGCCTGACAATATTCCTCTCAAGCCACTAAAAATAGTTGAGACTGTAGAAAACCCCTTAGCTACAGGGAATTATTACCATCTTCTTCTTACTGAAGATGCAATTCGAGAGGGCAAGGAGGCTGATAAGCGGGAAAGTTATAATTTCCAGCTAGCTCCTGTGATAAGGAAGAATCGAAGCAGTGCTGTGAATAGAATGATCATGTCTTGTTGGAGTGGTGACTTCTCCATTAGCTCCACCAGCTCGTCTACATCAAATTCACAAATGAATGGAAGAGTTGTGGCTGAGGGGGAGGGTGATGAGGATTGCGATGTTTGCCGACAGATGAGAGAATCGGTTCTCATGATGAAAAACAATGAAGAATCTGGTGAACACAATATTCAGGTATGCTGTTTTAGAAGGCTTGATCATGCAGTTTTATCAGCCAATAATAAATCGAGTCAGTGGGTTCTAGGGCTTTGGCAAATCTTACTCTTCCAAAAATTAATTCTTATTTAATAGGTTAGCCTTTATTTTCGATGCTAATCTTGTAAATTAAGCAAGTGGGTATTTGAAATCTAAGTTAAGATAATTTGACGTTTAAGATTAGCCAAGCATTCGGTTCGGTGCTTAAAAAAGGAAGTAATAGTCAGTTTATGTGGAAATTTGTAATCACTTACCGTTATCTGATCTAAAGTGCAGGCAACTGTGACTAATTGTTGTCCTGTGGTCCGTTTATGTGCGATCTCTATAATTTCTTTTCTATTTGGCCAAGAAATTACTGGGACTCGTGCGAAGTTTGCCTTTACCGTGACCGCTTCCTTGGCATGGAGAGTTGCATTACCGTGTTTAATTTAATTAGTGCCATAATATATAATGCTAAAACTCGAAGACTAGAACATTTCCAACTTCATCAACACATATTTTCACTTGATTCTTATTTCATTTTGGATAAGTATTTTGAAATGCAAAGAGTAAATTAAATGACGTATTTTTTCTTGAAGAGGACTACTTTTTAAAATCCCTCATAAAAAATTTTTTTCTTAGAATTGTCTAACAATCTTCCATCATAAACCAGAATTCGAGGTAAATACATGGCAAAAATGGTTATTAATTACTACAACATATAGAGAAGTTACTTTAGGGAGGCAAAAATTGGTACTTTAAGTGCAGGCGATGAAAAGTTTTATTTGAGGTCAACTTACTTGATTTCGACTGTCCATCCACATCTGTCCACATGTCCTGTTCAGTATGAGGCGCTGTCAAGTGCTTCCTTTATGACACTTTTATTTTATGACTTTTTGATATTAAACCATTCCAAACATGCTACATAATCGATTCGCTTGTGATAAAATTCTAAATGCAATTAAATGATGCTTTTCTGCTTTTGTTGATCATTATTTCTACCAGGTTTTGATACAGCAATTTTTTTATTTACAGTCAAACTAAAAGCCATTCTGCAATTGGTTTTTTTTATTTATAAATATTAATTAATTTAGCCAATTACGGTCAGCTGTCATTTGGGGTAGCATCTGTCGCAAAAACTCAGCACTGACATTATATTAGCGAAAAACGCTAACAGATTCAGCGATTCTTACTTTATTTTCTAAGCTAAAAGCTTGTGTTTATCATAAAATGTCATATATTGTTTTTAATTTTTCAGTAAATATATAATATGTAATGTTTTATTGAGCGTCATTTGTTTTAGGTTCTTACCCTTGGGATATTATTTACATTTGCAGTACTTAAACTCGGAATCTATTCTGTTGATATTTTCAAGTTAGTTCATGAATATATTTATTTATTTATATCAAATGGCAGGCGTTCTGATAGTTATCATTAGCCCTTTAGTTGACTTCAGGCTTCACAGAGGGGAAGGAACATCAAAGTGGAAAAAAGTCGAGAGGGGGGGGACAGAAGAGTGCTTCAAAGACGAAGGTAGAGAAAAAGGTGAGGTGAGTACCGTAGAAGTAGTCGAATATGGCATACACTGGGGTCATGGCAGTTTGAAGTCAGAATTCAACTGCCCATTGATAGACTTTTTTGCCGTATGAATATACGTTGCCCAGGGTGCACCACGTGGAGGTAAGTCCATCGCACACCCCAGTTCATAAATGTACTTATATTCAAATTAGGGCATGAGCTCTCCGATGACAATTATGGCATGAGGGATCAATACTGTACACTCATAATTATTATTGTCTTTTATCATAATGTTTAGTGTGTTTGAGAATTTCGAACTTTATTTGCCTATATTTATTAGGAAAAACCTATTTGTGCGTGTTTCATCAAGTTTATTATTCATTTTTATATTTTCTACTATTGGGGTTTGATTGTCAACTTATAAATAGTAGTCTACTTTGATTATGTTCTTGATTAAATTGATTTCCTAATTATTTGTATGACAGTTGATGAGAATTATAATCTGTAGTTCTCACGAACTGACCAAGTGCATATCATTTGCGTTGAAATGTCCGATTTCATTTGCAAATTACAAAGTTTGACACAGAATTGTAACGGAATGTTGCTTCCTTTTGTGAACCCAGTAGATACACTTCCTATCTATTGTTTTGACAGTTTAGCCAGTTTACAAAATATGCTGATTGAAAGAAGTAAATAACTGTCACCACCGCATTTCGTGAGCCCAGAAAAGAGGCAAATTTAAGAGTTCTGTTGTAGGAAAGCTTGAAATATCCTTTTTTGCACGCAAGGTTTGCAAATCAGTTACATTGTGTATCGAAATTTGCCCAGGAATACCCACACTCAATTTTAAATAAGTTGTAACTGACCACTAGGTATTAAAATTGTACGAGCCTGGAAGGTGTTAAGGTTATACACGGTTGACCTATAGGTACACTACATCAAGTACTATACATTGGTGATGCCGAAAATCATTTTTTTTAACACACATTCAATCAAGTGTTTATGTATCGCTACCCTTAGATCTAGTTGGCATTAGATGTCAATCTTTTGCATTCAATTTTTTTCCTCTACCCTGTAACTCCTATTGAACTATAAGCGATTGGCTTAACCTGCAAACTTAATGAGCAAATATGTTAAAGTTCAATCAAAAATATTATTGCTCACATAATAGAATCATTAGCAGTGTAATTGATCGACATGTTTCACCGAGATACAATTCATACATGAAATTTGTCTTTGCAGACGTATGGAAGTCACAGTCTTGGATCAGGGGCTTCAACACCATCTACCACCTCTACAAGTGGATTTGGACAGCAGAGTGGGGCACTTGAAAAAACTTTGAGGACTCCTGTCGATTCTATTATCTCAAACCCAACTACACCAACAGTCGAATTCCGTCCAAATAGCATCGAGATGACTTCTACAAAGCCAATTGTCAAAACACCTGAAGATGCTCTTCTAGATCCGTTGAAGCATCAGTCGGGTCAGTATGATAATCCCAGTGAGTAGCAGTGAGTATTTTAATCTATTTATCCTTGAGCATGTTTTGTTCTACTGAGGTACTATGCTCACATGCATACATTGTGGTTAATAATTCTCAATTTCGAAAATACATAATATTAAGAGACTTCACCAACTACGCATGCATTGCTTTTGCTTTATTTTTTCATTTCTCCACAAATTTTCATATTGGTGTCTTCTGAAATTACGATGTGAAGTATTCTAGTCATTTGAACTTCCTTGGGTATAGTACAATCAATACGAGTTATTTTATTGTTGTTAAAAATTTATTTTAAGCACTGCTGAACAAGTTGATTAAGTCAACTCGAATGCCGATTTGTCTTAAAATACAATTATTTTTCGCAATTTTTTCCTCACTTTGCTTTTATCACTCAGTTTTGTTCATTGTGAGGCAGTTGACTTCTGGATGACCTATAGTAAACGCTTGAAGTCAGCGAATCAGTTAGGGATAGAAGTAGACGTCACCACGGTGCAAAATAACTTTTAATTATCATGAAACACTTGCCTAAAAGAGCTAGCAAGGTCACTGCACTCTTAGATAATTCCACAGCTGGTACGATTGATTTGATTTAGGGACATCACTGTAGGCACGTAGGAGGGGGAGGGGTGGGGG